TGTGTCCCAGAATCAATATTGCTGCTACAATTGAGATTTACTCTGGTTTTGATGTGAAAAGCTGTCTAAAAAGTTTTGATGTGAAAAGCTTTCTAAAGTGAAACAAGATACAGGTTTCAATTTCTAAATAAAATATCCTCGTGAAGACTGATGCATTTTTTTATAGCTAATTAGAATATAGCTAGCTGTTGAATGATTGTAGAAGGAATAATGGAAAACTTGGAAAGGCTAATGATGAATTCTACAACCACCTTTTCAAACATGCCCTTTCTAATGTTCTATTGTCATACATAACCGAAATACCAGCATTCAGGGTTACCTGTGTCCCCAGACTGGATCTGGCAAGACACCTAGATGAGTTAAGCATCCGCTTCTTGCTGAGGTTCAGCAGTTGGCATCTTCCTTGTTTGACCTTCTGGAAATCCTAGCCTGAATGCCTGTGTACGGTGCTGTGTCTGCAAATTAGCATCTTATTATTTGGGGCACCTGTAAGAAAACTTGGCCAGATATCTTAACAAAGTGAAGATTAACATTCATCTGGCACACACACCCTGGAACAGAGTTTCTCTTCCTCACAGAGATAGAGATCTGAGTAGCAAATGCTTTCTCCTTTTGTTTGGATTTGCTATGCACCTCTACTTTGATTTTATGTTCTGTAAAAATATTCTAGAAACATTTTTCTCTCTAATGAATAGCTAAATATAAGAGAAGGAATAAATCTTATATCATTCCTCCAAATCCTGAGCTATCTCTCTGCATATATTTCTGGATTAAATAGGTTTTTTCCCCCTTACAATTTGTTTCCCTTCCCCCCCTACTTCCTGCTAAGTCTTTTGCAATAATTCTAGAGATACAGCAGCCTGATATGCCTACCTATCACTAAGTTTCTACATGGCCAAGAAAATGTCAGGGATGTAATGCTGGCAATATCTTTGGAGACTGATTCAGATATAAAATATAAAGAATCCTGGTTTACAATTGACATTACTGAAGTAACTATTTCCTAGGCATCATTACTGTATACAGTAGGAAATAGGTAACGCTATTACTTTAGAATGAAACGATTTGTGATACCTGTCATAAAAGACTAAGAGAATACCTTCTTTGCTTCACATCTGTTTTAACTGTCTCCATAAAATTTAAGGAATTGCAATAAAACTTGGGAAATGCTCTCACTGTGAGCTCTGTTTGGCAGTACTTAGGAGATTACCTTGTGCTCAAGACCAATTGGAATGTTTGCACATAAGAAATTATTTAAAATAGTATTTATTTTCTGGCCTTTTTTTATTTTAAAAGATCTTTCTCAATCTGTCTCTCTTGCTTTCTCTCCCCCTCTCTTTCTCTTTTTGAAACAGAAAGATCTTTAAACAGTTCGCTGCCTCCTTGGCATTTCTTCTTTCTGCTTTTCATTTCATGTGAAGTCTCCTGGGCTCTGACCAGTTCAAAAAGCAACTTTGTAGTTTTCAGCGGTAAATGACTGACAGTACTGGGAACTGTGCTCTTTGTCTGACAACTGCATTCATACCGCTAAGCATTTGGACTGAACTTTTAATTTAACCCCACTGACTTCTTTTTCTCCATCTCTCAGCATTGTCTGCATTGTATTTCCTACCATGGCAATGTATCTTCTGCTTCTGAAGCAGCTGCATTTTTTTCTGTGATCCTAAATGCAGCTTTGGTTCATAGTTTGGGATCTAATGAAGATGTGCTTTGTGTGTGTTGCTGTTGCATACAATAGCCAGAGACATTTAGAAGATAGCCCATGCCAGAAGAAATAGAGCTTGTTATTCTTTGATAGCTCATAGGAGACTGATACCGCGTCAGTCTATTTACTGATGAAAAAAAATGTGCTAGTAAAACTATCAGTTTTGTGGAAATTGTAAGTAAAATACTAAAGGATGAATTTAGCTGGAGCTTATGTTAGTGTCTCTGTGCATGCTGATGAGATGGTTTGAAGAATTTTTCGATATGGTCTGAATACCTTTGTAGTATTTCATGTAGCAGAGTACTGTGAATAGGTCTCATTAGTTTACATGCTTAAAACTGTGTGTGTGCTTTGGTGCTGTCAGCACACCCCTGCAAGATTTTGCTGTTGTAGTTGTGGTGTGTGGATGGAATCTGTGTGATGTTTCCATGAGGCTGGCTGCTTCTTCCTTGGAAGAGGTAGAGAATAATATGTTTTACTCTGTTGGTCAGACATCTGTACCAGCCCAGGGCTAGAATTTGAACTGCATCAACTACCTTCCATAAGAAAAGAGAGGGCAAAGTAAGTGTGTCATTCATCTATAGTCAGACTGGGATTTACTGCCAGGATGCACCACAGAAACATCTTGGCTTGTGCAAAGGACCTTTCACTCAAATCTAGTCCAAATTACTGCTATTTTTTTGCCACACACATCCAAATAATATTGATGCTTAATGAGGTAAAGGGCACAGTCCTTGGTCCTCTGTGAAAAGTGCTGGCAGTGTGTAACCTTTCATTAGCTGATTCGCTTTAATAACTGGGAAATATGAAAAGGCAGAAACCTTTTAAATTAAGAAAGTGATGAAATATTTGTGCATATGTAAAATAGTATGAAGTTAGTATATTGTACAGGCAGCATGCAATATTTTCATTCTAATATAAGGATCTATGGCATTTGAAAGAATTTATTCTCTTAACCATATGTGTCTTTTCTGCAGCACTCACATCAAGTATGTATGCATAAGAATCTTAGACACTTTATTATACTTATATAAGTTTTATCTGTGCGTATTGCAATGCCTCCTGAATGTTATCAGTTACAGGTCAGCTCTTGCTTTGAAACAAAAAGTATGCTAATACCACATTAGAAGTTTCAAGTTCAAACACACAGTACATAGAATGTAATTCCAAGATGCCACAAACCCCATTAAAACCCCACCTTTACTTTGCTTCTATATCTGCTTGTCTAAATGCAATCTGTACACTACAAATCTCATATTTACTGATACATTTCTAGTGTAGACTATGGAATACCGGAACATGTATCTCCTGTGTGTAAAAGGATGCCATATTTTGTTTCTACCCATCTAGCAACAAAATTAGATGGGTAGAAACAGAGATTTGGCCATCTTCCATTATACCATTCTTCTGTAGTTGAAGGATGACACTATACTTGTACTTGTTTGTACTTGTGTGATGTATGGAACGATTCTATACTATGCTATCATTAAGCAAAAAGCCCAATTTATATTGAGATGTCTTCTAATTACAAATGATCACCCTTCTCAGATTGTGGAATTCTGTGGTCTGCTCAAGATTCAAGGGTTTATGAGGGGTCAAGGTGCAAGAGATGAAAATTGAGATTGTAGTTTAGAGCAGCCTCAGGAATACCCTTTGCAAACAAACATGAGCAGCTTGAAGGAAACACAGGCATCTGGAACACAGCAATATTTCATTTATATATTAATAATTATATCACATATATTCTGTTATATTAACGTGATATTGTTGACTCTGTACCAAAGCCTGATAAGGACTTATACAGTGTCCTGGGTTCAGCAGTAGCAGCCATTTTTCTCCTTCTTAGTAGCTGGTACAGTGAACCAGCTCAGCCGGCACTGAACTCAGGACATACACATAGAACAGTCTTTTGCCTAAAGGCATAATTACAGTAAGATATTTAAAAAAATAACCAAAACATGTATTTATTAATCGTACATAGCAGGTAAAGTCTAGTTCCTTTTGCATGCAGCTGCTCTTATGAGCCTTCTGGACACAAAACATGAGCAAAGATCATTAAAGAGCTTACAGACTGCTTAAAAGGATATTACCCTCTTTCTGTACACTGCTTATTATAAATCTCACATACCTCAGAATGCATTATTACTAAATTACTTATTGATTCTGAATAAGGCTGTCAATGCATCTGTGAGCCTGATTTTATTTATGGTGTGGTTCTGAAAGAATAGTGCAATTTATATATCTATCTATTCAAGTCAGTGGAGAAAACTTATATCCATATTCTTTCTGTAGTGATTTAAAATTCACAAGTCACTGTTTGAAAAGGGGTTGTGTTTGGTTTTGGGGTTTTTGTTTTGCATTTCTGCATGTACTATTTTTTAGCTTCAGCTGACCAAATATAAATGTGCAGAATGTCCCTATTCACCCTATCTTTCTGATTGCCCAAGTAACATGATGTAGTACATTTTTTTCTAAGCAGCATACTACAAAGACTCCAGAAGCTACTGAAGATTTGAGAAGGATCATGGGAGTGATGATGATAACCTTTTGTAGATAGATGATGATAACCTCTTTCCATCTATAATTTATTAGATGGGAAGAGCAGACATAAGAGGCAATCTGAACTGAAGAGGTGGCTGGGAAGTGCATGAATTTTTAGGTGAGGGACATGCTCATCCACTTTCTGATTCTATGACCAGCATTTTTCCATTATTTAAAATGGTTCCCTGTCTTTGGCTTCCCACTTGTCCTTTCTTCTCCAAGAAGAAAGGCTTGTGTTTAATTTCTTAGCTCAGGTGGGATTCTGAGGATTTTAAAAGAGTAAAGCATTTGTTAGGAGAAAGAATGGCAAAGGACAAAGACTGGGAGTAGAGGATATTTCAAATAGGCAAAATTGTATGGGAAATAGGGATAATGAGATTATAAGGAAATTAAGAGAAGTTGTATAAAATTTCTTCCTCTGCTGCCCATGCTCACACATTTCATTATGAAATCTTGTCCCTTCTTTCCATCTTATTCTCCCTGAGATGGAATCTGTCTGTTCTGGTTGGTCTTCAGTCTTGCTCCTTCAGTCCTCCTCAATAAGTATTGTTGATGTTACCGACATTTATGCAATAGCAGAAAAAATATCTCACCAGTGTTCAGTTCTGTCTATTCAACACGTAGCTACAATTGGGCTTTATACGGCTGTGACTCTGTAGCTTGCCTGGCTAGTATGATAATTGTAAAGAACCATTCTTTGCCTTTCCTAATAAACTGGCTTATACAATTTCTCTGTTTTCCCAAAATTCTGTAGTTGACTGCAGTTCCAAAGCATTGTTTTGGATGGCAGTGGCCTATTCTGCATAAGTGTCCCTTTCATGCAGTAAGATGAAGCTTTTGCCATGTCTTAACAGGTAGGTACCTCTGTAATTTCTGAGTCACATTCAGCTTGCTCCTTGCTCTCGTTTGTAAGTGGAAATAGAATCTAGAGACACATTTATTTTTGTCAATTGGATTCAGTTGGATTCAACAGTGTGTTTCTTATTTTTTCTTGTAAAATAGAGAAGCTTTTGATTGACATTAATACACCAGGAAGACTAAGCATCATGTTTAACTCTACAGTGAATATGCAGAGCTACAGACAAAGCAGAATATTTTGAATATTTTTCATTAACTTTCTATTCTCCCTTCCTTGAAGAAAAGTAAGTGAAAAGCAATGAACTTCCTTTGGAAGTTGCAAAGTGCTCATATTCAATAGCGATAAAGAATTATAAATACCCAGATGCACAAAAATACATACCTACAAACATTTCAAGAAAGTTTTCTAAAGTAATATTAACAATACATTATTTTTAAGATTAATGAACTGTTGAAGATAATTTTCTGTCATATAAACTTATAAATTGCTACCATTATGCTGATCTTAATTGATTCTCTTATGAGAATTACAGTTGCTAATTCTGCATTCATAGTATGTGAATTTCTTCATTAGCGATTATTTTATGGCTCATTTTAACTGTGAGATGACAGTTTCACTGCATTTTCTTTTCCTTTCTGTTTCTATCTTTTCAATAACACTGATATGGAAATTCATCATATCAAACTTCTGGAATGCTCTGATTCTTGTCTCCTCCTTAGCCCTCAGTTTGTTAACCAAGCAAATGTGATACAGAGGTCATATTGTTAACCCTCTGTTGCAAAGCTAATTTGCACGATGCTGCTAAGCTACAGATGTCTAAGCATGAAGATCTGCAAACATTGTTAGAATTGTTATTAGCACCGATTTCTGCATTCTCTCCAGGAGAAGTTAGTGACAGAAGGGCCAGCTGACAGGCAGCCAGTGAAAATGTGGTTCTTATTATTCCCAAGTGTTTCTTATGGTAGAAGGTAGATTCTTGTCCCACGCAGATGGGGAGATACACAGCACCAAGAGCACCTAAAAACTAGCACAGCAAACTGCTTATTGAGAACTTCGTGCATGGGAGGATGTCTGCTGTTTCCCTCAGTTGTGGATGCTTATTCAGTGGTGGTGGTGGGAGAACTGTCATATTTGCAGCTTATGTAAACAAGTTTGTTGTAAGGGGATGATATTTGCTGGACATAACCCAGAGGACCAGCATTCATGTTTTTTCCAGGGTGGTAGGTAGAAGCACACTTTCCCTGCTTTCCCTTGCTTAGTCTGAGTGAACTTGTTGCCCTTGCAGTGTGTACAGTGCTAAATGGAAACAGCGTTCACTGATGAATAAAGATGCTTTGTGTTGGTAAAGTTGACTCTTTTTTTCGTTTTCTTGCCCTTTTTTATCTATTTTCCCTTAAAGTGAGAATAAAAACCTGAATTATTTAGTTTATTGTGATTTTTTTAAATCCTATTTAGAAAACAAGTTCACTGGCATATATGTGCAGTATATACCTCTGGTAAACAGAAATAGGTCATCCACAGTTCAGGTCACTCTTTCCAGCAAAGAAATTTTTTGAAGACTTAAAGAGTGCACAAGAGCAGAGCAGGCAAAACGAGGGATTGTTTTATGAATCCCTTTCAACACTAAGCATGTGATGTTTTTCTAAGCAGTAAGATATTTGTTTTCAAAAGACAATTGTCAAGTTCACTTAGATTCACTGACTGCTGATAGCAATGTAAGCTTCAGACAGTAGTGACAGGTTTTCTTCCAGGACACTGCATGTCACATAATATAAGCTTCCTTCAACTGGAATGATGTTTGAGTTACAGTAGCACCATGAACATAAACAGCCATTTAGGTCAGCCAAGCAAGAAGTATGCAAGATTTCTATCAGCCAATGTACAGCTCCTTTCAGCTTTGCTTGTAATACTTTCCGTAAGCAGTGTCTGTGGGGGGAATTCTGCAGCTGAGCATCCCTTGTTCCTTCTTCAACCTGTCCTTCCACAAGTTGCAGAGAGCAGAATACTATGGCAATACTCAGGCACTGATTGTTTTTGCTGTAAGGAGCTCACTTTAGCCTTTGATTTTGATCTAACAGCTCATAGATGGGGCAGTTTCAGAACTGAATGTGTTTTACAGTGCTTGGCAAATGACTGCCTAAACCACAGGTATAGTTTACAATTGCAGTGATATAAAATATCTCTTTGTTTACTCTTTATTCAGGATATGTATTCACAAAAAAGATATGTTTTTCAATACAGTGCATGGTGTACTGGCATTGATAAGGTGAGCTTTACAGAAGGTAATTGCATAAATGTTATTATCACTGCATTACAGGCAAGAACTGACTTTGCATTTGGCTGCAGAAGAGGTATGTCTACAGGAAGGAGCAGCTGGAGATAGCCCTTTAGCGTCTGTAGAGGGTGGAGACACAGTATGGACTCGGGCAGGTGTAGGATGTAGGGCTCCATGGATGTGTCTATAACGCAAAAGAGACTCAGGCCAGGGAATAAACTCCTTGGGATGCTGATTGGCCCTTATGCTTAATACTTGCTTTACAGCCTGTCACTGCTTTGTGTTGTCAATACCAGGTTTGTTTTCCCCACCATTAATCAACATCCTAGGACGCTTTACACCTTCAAGGCTTCTGCAACACCGCAGAGTGTTCAACATATAGCCTCAATTTCATGCTGATAAAATGTCATTTTGGTAAGCTGTGACACAGCAATCACATTATTCGAAATGCTCTGAACTGAGAATAATATGCAATGAAATAGTGTTTATGCACTCAAGCTATGAGGTGACTATAGGGGACAAAAGGGAAACCTTGGGCAAAACATTATGTAGAGTGGCTAGGCAATGCCACTCAGGGTCTTGAGCTTTATTTAGCAACATGGATAAAGTCCAAATCATGAAGTTAGTATATCAGAACTGATGTAAAACGCTGTCTGGTATCAAATATGGTGTCTGTGGTCATTTTCTAGCAGTCATCTCATGAACTGGTGTGGGAGCAAGAACTGAAACTTAGGCTCTCCAGACTTCCAGTCCTTGTTCTCATTGTCTCCAGAAAAAATACACTGAACTACTGAATACACTGAAATACAGTAGAAGAGGGGAAAAAATGCATCGAAGAAAGGTAAAATTATGGTTCCTGATGACATCCTGGTTCTGTCATCAGTTCAATGGAGAACTGAAGTAGAGCAGGACTAGTTCTGTTCTCTGGAGCCTCTGGGAGTTCTGACTTTATTTGCAGGAGAAGTTGTATTGAATTCTGAAGTAGTAAGAAATTTAAGTCAAATGCATTACTAAAATTATGTGTTGTGGATGAATGAGGGATTAAAGAGTTTGAAAATAATGATTTACTCAAGTCAGCCTTGAGGATCAAAGCTTTGGCTTCACTGCTGTCTCAAGGTGGACTTAGTACCTCATGGGATAGTTTCATGGCTCAGTGCAACACAGATAATTTGACATTCAAAGCTGTCAATGGCATGGATTAATAAAGCTTTTACAGTATCTTTAAAGTTCTTACTGCAAGCCAGCTCTTATACCCTTCCTGAGTGCAGCTGTAACTGTTTGTTTCTGAATGCAGAGTTTCTGCCATTTTTTTTTTTCCCTTCAGGGAAAATATCCTTGAAAAGATAGGGATAGGTGATTAAACCCAGCAGGAAATACATAAGGGAATTTTTGGTGGTCTAATCAGGTTTTTAGAGACTTCAGCAGGGCAGAAGTATTTTATAAATTTAATATGACAGTTAATAGTATTATCACCATTTTGCAAATCCAGGAACTTATTCAAGATCATTATTCATATCCCAGGAGTTTTTGTGTTTCTTTTCTTAGATAACTGCATCATGCCCTTGTCTCCAGCAGAAGGGCAGGAAGATGCATATAACCTGTACTTCTTAGCTGGGATTATCTCATAAGGTGACCTTAAGTTTTGGCAGCCAGTCAAAGGTTTACAGCACATCAGCAAATGAGGAGAGTTCTATCAACTCTCTATCAACTTCCAACCAGCAGAGGTCAGAGTAATTATCTCCTTGTCACTTTGGGGTCTTTGTAGCAAATGAGGCGGTCAGACTGTGCTATTGAAGAGCATTATAACACTTGGGTAGTTTCATCACAATGCAGTTCCTTTGCAAGACTCCATTGCCCTTGCACAGCAAGTTCCTGGCCTACTCTCAGCTTGTAAGAAACGATCTGATGGTCAGTGCTGCTGGTTCCTCTCACTGAGCCTTTTCCAAAGTGGCAGATGCTGTATGCGCTTCCTTTCCATGCACTTGCTGTAACAGACTTCCAATCCTTTCAAGGAGGAAATCAGTAATACTGCATATTGAACACCTCTACTTTGCACAGGTTTGGTGCCTTAAGCAGAAGATACTATAGACAGGCTGATACAATAATTGAGAGATGTTGTATGGATAAAATTTAACCCCTAACTTCTAATGTATGTATAAACATCTAAACAAATCGATAGAAAAGGCAACATGACTACCTAATTATTATGAAAAATGGTATTCATGTTTTGTACATTTATGATTATATTAAGCCTTTTTCAAGCAGCTAATATGCAGATCTGATTCAAGATAGATTAATTTGTGATATGAACACTTAAGCTATATAATTTACTCTGATTGAAGAGGCAATACTAAAATGTGGCATTAGCAGATGTTAGATGTATTTTGGCTCTGAATCTATTCACTAGGTAAAGCTCCCCTCATTCTAAACAGTTAAACACTCTAATACCTCGATTTGACTTTCATCTGTGTTTTGTTTCTTTGACTTATTCTTGAAGTCCTGTTGCTGTAGCAATAGCCAGTTCTTTGATGAAATGAAGCACATTCCAGATTCAGCTGTTAAGGTCTGTATGGGGGCCGTTTGGCAGGATCAGGCAGAACGCTTATTAAAAACCACCTGATCCTTTCTGTTTAATATTCAACACTGTACTTTCTTTCTCCTCAAACTCATTGGTCATCACAGGGCATGTCTCTGGGCACTCTGCTAGGTGCTGTGAAGTA